TTTTGCCAGAGTGTCTCCATGAAACTCCAAGGTCTCTTTCCATCACAAGCCTTCAACACTCATCAGAGCACCCTCCTACTTCTCTGGTAACTACAATAGCAGCCTCAACTTGATCATTTTTGGCTTGCTTCCCTCCCTCAACTGGAAATATTAAATTCTATTTTAGAATGTGAAAAACCATGTGACCTTCAGATAAAATGTATTATTTGTAAATTCAGATAAAATTTAGAGGTCTCTGTCTTAATTTCCATATACACAAAATGAAAGTGCTACATCGAACATTAGTTAAGGATCGAATAAAAAATAGAACAACTTTTTGGAGATTTTTAAGTACTAGCAAATTCGCTCATAGCAGATCAGGAAATATAAATTATATAGGGCAGTGTCCACCAATCCTAGAGAAGAGCTCTTTTCAAAAACAACAAAAATTACCCAAATACATTGTGTTCCAGAGTCTCCTCTTGTAGATTGTATAGGTGAAGCTAAACTGTTTCTCTGAGAAATAACTATTGTATTGGGTTTCTTTACATGTTTCAATAATACCCCAAATCAAGCCCTGTGAGGTCCATGGATTTCATGAATGGAAGAAACATTGTTGAATCAGAGGAAAGGGCGACATCTCTTCCGAGACTTTCAATTGTGAGCATTTGCTTTGAATAAAACGATGTTGTAACACTTTTGCAAACCACTGTCCTCTGTAATCATTCAGAGGTGACTCCTTGACTTCAGACTAAAATCTCATTCCTTTTCATTACCTAGTACAAAGAATTACTCAGTCTCTTTTCTAGCTGCTCCCCCCACCATGTGCTTGGGTGCCCACAGTACACCCTGTTCACTTTCTGCCCCAAGCACTTACGCTTTGCTGTCTTCAAGGCTATAAAGTGAATCATAATGTTTTCTCATCATTTAAAATTTTATGTGGACATCTCCTGCTTCCCATGAACCATCACGATTGCTTAAATTTCTATCCCTGGACTTAGCCTTATTTTGATGTTATCTGTTTATAGTCTGTCTCCCTCATGCGGGAGCAGATACCAAGATGAATATTTTATTTATCATCGGAAGACTGGTATCTGGAACAGTGCATTGCACACAGTAGGTACTTAATATAGGTTGAATGAATTAAATAATAAATATGCACAAGAAAGGAGCACAAATGTATAGAAAACAGCCATTCAATAAACAGGCCAAAGGCACCAACTTTGCCTAAACCACATCAGGATGCAGGATCAGTGTTGATGCAGTGAAGCAGATGTTTTACAGTGTGACCTTCATTCTGCTTTCCACTTTGTCTTTCTCTCCAGGGCCAATATCATTTATTTACAAGTGCTATCTGCATATCCACATACATTGTACCACCTAATCCTAAAAGCCACCACAGAATCATGCTATGCTGTCAAAATTCAATGCAACAACCAAGTAAGGTAGCAAGAGTAGTGCTGGACTTGTCTGATGTGTGCCCACTGGGAAGAGTCCTCCACTGATCTGAACTGTAACTCCCTTTCTACCTTGCCAATCTTAGTGCAGAAAGTCATTGTTTTCCCATATTTTTGTCATTGTCCAAGTGGGCACAGGGAGTTAGCTAATGATCAAGAATGGGCATAAGCTTTAGAGTAAGACAAACCTGCTTCTGAATGCTAGATACTATGTTCAGTATCAGGGTGAACCTGGAGTTATTGTAAGCCAGTTTTCTTATACAGAAGGATACTAACCATTCCTTTCCAGTTTCCTGTAAACTTAGGAGATTAAAAGCTGAGAAATTTTAAGTTTCCTGATGACATTACCATTGCCGTTTTTACCCAACCTTAGAGAAGGCATAGAGTAACTTTTCTTCAGAGACCACATTATTACAGGCCTAGTTAGTAGATGTGCCATTGTGATTCTCACTGGCTGACATGCATTCTTAGTCATTCTGGAATTATGTAAAGAGAATAATAAAGAGGCGTGCTCTCCTTCATTTGCAGGCACAGTTCCTTAAATCCATGGTTGCTCTTTCCACGTGCTAGCAAAAGCTCACTTCATTATTTTGCATGGTTCCTTCTCAGCACCACTTCCTATGGCTTTAAAAGCTTCCATTAATTTCTCATTAGTAAACTTTAATTAAAATGAACATGTATCATTGCTTTTAGCAGTTGTATTCATAATGCATGTATAATACATGCAAATTTAGTTCACAGCGTTTCAAATGGCTTATTTCAGAATAAATAAACACATGGATGTTATTTTTTAAAAAGAATTTTATCTACAGAAATATTTTAGACTCTGATCCTTCCCTAAAATAACTACAGTTTCATGACAATGCAATAAAAAGTTAGCAATCTTGATAAAAATCTATCTTATTCAAGACAGTAGCTGGTTAAAACATGAATAATGCCCTCTGAGCTTTAAACCATTGGTACCCTGGGGTTACTGCAGTCTTTGGATAGAATTCATTGAAAAGTAGAGTGAGGAGAGGCCAAGGGATACTTCTAATTGGAGGATCTATGGTGGTCTAACATATTACACTGTTACTAACATTATACAATCATCTTAGTTGTGTCCTTTTTATTACATATTATGAAAGACACACCCTCCACTAAAGTTCCATTCTGATGCTTAACACAGGGAGGTTGGAACATATTAGAAAGCATCTGAGCATTAAATTTCACAATCATTCTCACTCTTTATAGTTCTCTTCCTTAGGTCCAAGAACTTAAAAGCATGTTTTCAGAAAATAAAGATGCCATTTTTTTAGATCACAGTTCTACCAGATTACTGTGGGATTCCTCAAATATTTTGATCAACAGAAAATAATGGGTTAAGTAAGAATTCTGGTTTGCCTAGTGAACACGTCATTTGACCACGATGAAAAAGATTTGGTATTTCCAAAAAGAACAGTTCCACCCAGGTGAGCCTGTTATCAAAATTAACCTCAAAGTCTCTCAGGATTTGTAGGGATGCATAATAAAACTGGAGCCGTGTGTTCCTCCAAGGGCTGAGTCAGTTAGTGCACCTGTCTGACAACCTGTCATTCCCTTTCTGCTCTCAAGCCTACCCTTTTATCCCTTGTCCTCTCAGGGATTCTTTTAGACCCACTGACCCAGTGGCTATTGTCTCAGTGTAGCATCTGTGCCACAGTTTTCCTGCTTCTCACTTTCTGAATAAGATTTCCTGAAGAAATGAAACATTGTTTTCAGTTGGTAAAGTGTTTAAATTCGAAAGTCTAATAAACACTCTAAATGAAATTACTCTTCAGTTCACTGAGTTTGACACCACATGCTTTTCCAGAAATATCAATCTGTAGGAGACATGCACAGTTTATCCGTGACTATACCTAAGAAGTGTTGGCATGATTGATATAGACATAGTTAAAAGGGAGTGATTTCAAAATGTTTTATAAAGTTACCAAATAGAATAGTAAACTCTCTGTACCACACTGCTAGATTAAACTTGCTAACCATGTAATTCAAGTCACCAAATAATTTCAACAATTAAACAAGCCTTATAGTTCTTCCTCATAATTGAAGAATACCCAACTCTAGATCTTGCAGAAGTCCTCTGTGGGAAATAGAGCTGCCGCAGCTGCTGGTGTTTTAGAAAGTCTCCTTGAGTTTCCACATCAATACGCCTGACAATACACTGTGTACCACTTCCCCAGAAGGCGTCTCCTCTAAGTAATTTGGAAGGCCAGAGATTGGTATCTATGACCAAGCTACCCAGTTTTACAAATATGGATCCTAAGAAATGCAGCAGAATTGTTACACTCACTGCTCAGATGAGAACGCTGCTGTTCACCAGAAAGGAAAAGAAGTCAGTGAATCTATTCTACCGATGCTCTGAGCTGTTTCTTCATGGGATGCTTCGTCATGTCAATGACCCACAATGTACTTGATCATAAAACCAACTACAGGTGAAATTTTAAAACACTGACCAGTGTCAGTGCACTTGGTAGGAAGTTCCCACACACTGCACTACACATTTACTAAGCCATCTTGAATCCGAGGAACCTCTAGGGTCTCTATGTTCTTTGACACTCATACTTTCTATGTGTTAAACTTTGCTTTCTAAAAATTCTAAACACATGAAAGTGAAAGGACCACATTTGTGAGCATATTGTTCCGTTACATTGCTAGGTCCATGCAGTGATGTCTGAGGGATGCCCCTCCCCCTCCAACGAGTTGAGTATTTTACTTGTACTTCAGTTTATAAGTGGAAGTGATAACTATGGAAAGAGACTTGGTAGATGGAGTGGTAAGCAGCAAGTCAACCAATGAAAATGCCAAGCGCAGTTAACGTTTACCCAGTGTGCTTACTACCCCTGTTCCAAAGGCTCTCAGTTACGTGCAGAGCTAGACATGGGGATACCACAAAGTAATCGGAAGTATTCCATATCAGTTCAGGTATCATAAAGCCTGATCACTTGTACACACACTACATAAAATGATTATATCTTGATTCATGTTATAAATACGACAAATCAGATATCAGCACTACGTGGAGCATAGTACTTCTTTAGCAGTCATTATTCAAGTGTGGGTCCCTTTGAACAGTAATAATTCCTATCTAACTAAATTAGTAATTTTACCCCCAGAACAAAGAGAAACATACAAAGTTCAGCACACCACAAATGTGAGATAAGGAATAATGGCTTTGAGAAAGTGTGACAGGAACTCTGTACTAATGAATTAGTGTGTCTACTATCTGGGGAGAAGTTGTAGCATAGACAGAAAGCAGCGAGCCCGTGAGAAGACAGGATGCATGAAAGACCTCAAACACGTTCATGTCCATGCCCTTCCCTGATTTCTCTTTCCTCACCTAACCTGAATAGGTAGGTAGGTAGGAAGGGAGGGAGGAAGGGAGGAAGAAGAGGAGGGAGAGTGCACTTTAGAAAAGAAAGAAAGAAACCCAAAAAGTGACTAGGCTTACTACCACAATCATCTCGGACGATTTCATGCAAAATCAGAGCAATGGGCATATAGGAGAGGCAGTAGTTCCCCTCGACCCCCATCTTGATACAGTACCTCCAGACTTGCCCGAGCTGCAAGATGTGGATGAGGGACTGCAGAAGCCAGATGCAGAAGGAACAGGACGCAGACCTGTGCTTGCTGCTGGTCCGGGTGGCCTCGTTGCTGATGCTACCGCTGTTGGTGGCGGCGATGTTGCTCTTGCTGGCGTTGGATGCTTGCCTCTGCGGCGTAGAAGGGCGAGCCTCGCCTTCCCCAACTGCAGACCCACCGCTGACCACTGTCTTGCAATCTGGTCCAGGCTGCTGGTAGCTGGAGGCCATGGCCGTAGCGCTGTCCTCGGTGCTGAAATCGTGCACAAACCAGCGGAAGCTGAACACTTGCACAGAGAGCGAGCCCAGCACCACGAAGAAGAGCGTGAGCCCAAACCACCAGCGCTGGCCACGCAGGTAGTAGTCCACGGCGAGCCAGATGTCCGTTCCCACGTCCGCGAAGTACACGGCCACGGCGGCCAGGATCCAGAGGCAGTCCCACAGCGAGTAGCGCCGCTGCTCCCTTCCCAGGCGCAGGCACAGCGCCGCCGAGCCCGCCCCGCTGCCCGGGCCGCCG